GGTGGGCTTGGCCGTGTTGGATCAGGCCAGTGGCCCATCCAGTCTAACACTCTGTCACACAGTGGCCAAAAACACCAGGGGCCATCAGGAGGTCCAGCAGTGGGGCCAGGACACCAGAAGCCCTCCCACTGTTGCCCCCCCCCAGGCACCAAGAAGACAAGAGCATCCCTTGCCCCAGACTGAGAGTTCCTATCTACACCTTGTGGCTAAGTGCCACTGATGGACCTCTGCTCCATATGCTTATCTAATTCCCTCTTGAAGCCGTCCATGCTTGCAGCTGCCACCACCTCCTGTGGCAGTGAGTTCCACGTGCTAATGACTCTGGGTGAAGAAGGACTTCCGTCTTCCACCAGATGCTTGAAGCGGATTGGCAGCAAGACTTTTTTCCCCACGCCCAGAAAGAATGTGGGGGGGAAACTTTTGTTAACTGACTGGCTGCTGTTGCTGCAGAAGACTCCCAAGACAGCCCATGGGCGTCACGGCAACCATTGTGGGGGCCACGCGTTCCCCTGGGGACCCTGCCAGCTCCCTGGAAAGTCCCCGTGGGCCAGGATGCCCTCTGGGCGGCAGGGATGTCCTCCACAGCAGGCAGCTCCGTGGGCTTAAGTGGTCCCGGCGGCAGCGCCACGGACCTGCCCGGCTGCCCAGAAGTCGGCTGGGAGACCAGGGAAGAACCGGAGTCGCCCTCCCCGTCAGTCACAAGTTCCCTCAGAGCTGTTCTCTCAAGGGCAGCCCTCGAGAGAGCTCTCTCAGCCCCACCCACCTCACAGGGTGTCTGTCTGTTGTGGGGAGGGGAAGGGAAAGGAGTTTGTAAGCTGCTCTGAGACACCTTTGGGTAGTGAAGGGTGGGGTATAAATACAATCTTCTTCTTCTTCTTGCCAAAGGGAATGACGAGGCCAGGGCTGTGGGGGGCGAGAGTGTCAGGCTAGGAAGGAGGGTGGTGGAAAGTACTGTCAAGTCACGGCTGACTGGTGGCGACACCGTCGGGTTTTTCGAGGCAAACAGAGGGTGGTTTGCCGTTCCTCTGCATAGCAACCCTGCACTGCCTTGACAGTCTCCCACCCAAGGACTGACCAGGACCGACCCTACTGGCCCATCCAGGTGAGAGCAGAGACACACTCAGGTGGCTTGCCATGGCCTGCCTCTGCGTAGCAACCCTGGACCTCCTTGGTGGTCTCCCATCCGCGTACTGACCAGGACCAACCCTGCTTAGCTTTTGAGATCTGACAAGACGAGGTTAGCTGGATCCAGGGGTCATTTCCTGCAAGAGCGGAGCTCCGGCCGTAAAGCGCCCTGGGGGCGGGCACATGCAACAAGCCCCGCCCCCTGCTCCCAGCAGTCCTCAGTCAGGCCACAAGGAGCAAGGAGCAGCCTGGTAAGTTGCAGAGCCCCCCCCCAGATAGCAATCCAAAACAGTCCAGTGGCACCTTTAAGGCCAAGGTTTTATTCAGGTACAAGCTCTCCCTCCTCCGCGAGGACAGATCTGCACATTCCACCCCCCCAAATAGCTAGCGATCCAAAATAGTCCAGTGGAGCCTGAGCAGTGGGTGTCGCCTTCTGACACACATCCGGTGATGTCAGGGGGTGTGGCATATGCAAATGAGTTATGCTATTGAGCTCCTGCACCTCTTTTTCTATGAAAGGACCCCTGGCTGGACCATTCAGGGCATGGCAGGCTAGGGAGACCCAGGATCAAATCCTGTGTGATGCCTGCCAGTCCTGGAACACTGTGGTTCCATGTTCTCCTCCATTTTGTCCTGACAACAACACCCCTGTGAGGTAGGCTATGCTGAGAAGATGTGACTGGCCCAAGGCCACCCAACGTGCCTCCATAGCTAAGTGGGGATTCAGACCTGATTCTCCGGGATCCTAGACTGACTCCCTAACTGCTGTGCCACAGAGTCTCTCTCTCTCTCTCTGGACCTCACCTTGAGCTCGATAGAGGAAGGGTGGGGGGGGGCAGATGCATGCAAAACATCTGGAGCTTCCATGTGTGACTTTCCCACTATCTTCCCCCTCCCAGAAGGAGCAACACCGAAAACCCTGAGGCTTGGTGGGGGGAGGGGAGGACTTTTTAACACTTTCCCTCCTGGACAGTGTCCCTGAGCCCCCATGCGCCTCCTTCACTTCCAGGCCTGAAGCAGCTGTACCATGCCCAGGAGCTCTGCAATGCCACCTTGGTGGCCGGAGGGAAGCGCTTCTCTTGCAACCGGTGAGTCGCCATCCCCACGGCCACGCAGGGAGCCAGGAACCGACTCCTTAGCCGAGGGAGCCAAAGGGGAGGTTGCTTCAGTGGAGAGGAACAGGGTTGCCAACTGCAGCCTGGGGAATTCCTGGAGATTTGGGGACGGTGCCTGTGGAGGGGAGACCCTGGGGAGGGGTTTCGATGGTATACCATAGAGCAGGGGTCCCCGGCCTTTCTGTGCCTGTGGGCACCTTTGGAAGTCTGACAAAAGGCAGCGGCCACATGCACAAAATGGCTGCCACGGGAGGCGGAGCCAGTCTCAAAATGGCTGCTTCAGGAGGCGGGGCCAGCCGTGAAATTTCAGGGATCGATGCTAGCTGCTTATGGTTAATAATTAATACAGTTAACGTAATACATTTATGGCTAACTCAGAGTTAACTCTTCAAGGTTTCAGGCAGAAGCTCTCTTTGCCAGGATGCCTTTTGAACTGTGCAGCCAATCAGGAGCCCTGCAGGGGGAAAGCCCCAGCTAGCCACGCCCACTTTCCAGAAGCACTTTGGTGGGCCCCAGGGAAGGGGTTGGCTGGGGCCAAGGGTGCCCACGGGCACCCCTGTCATAAAGTACACGCGCTGAAGCGGCCCTTTTCTCCAGGGGGACCCATCCCTGTGGTCTGGAGGTCATTTGTAATTCCAGGAGAACCCCACCGAGAGGTCGGCAATGCTAACGTCCCATGATGCAACAGCCTGGGGGATGGGTTGGCCGAAACCACAGGAGGCCGGGGGGGGAACGTGGGCGGAGAGGCTGGACCGGGGGGTCTGACCGTGAGCCGGTGGCCCACCGTCACCCGGCACCTCCGTCCCGGATTCTGACGGCCATCTTGGCTTCTCCCCCAGGGCGCTGCTCGCCTCCGCCAGCCCGTACTTCCAAGCGGAGGTCATTTGTAATTCCAGGAGAACCCCACCGAGAGGTCGGCAATGCTAACGTCCCATGATGCAACAGCCTGGGGGATGGGTTGGCCGAAAACACGGGAGGCCGGGGGGGGGAACGTGGGCGGAGAGGCTGGACCGGGGGGCTGACACCCGGCACCTCCGTCCCTGATTCTGACGGCCATCTCGGCTTCTCCCCCAGGGCGCTGCTTGCCTCCGCCAGCCCGTACTTCCAAGCCCTCTTCATGGGCGGCTTCAAGGAGTCTCAGGATGGGGAGGTGCTGCTGAAGGACCTGGATCCCTCCACCCTCCAGAGCCTGCTGGCCTTCCTCTACACGGGGGACCTGGACCCCAGCCCGGAGACGGCGGAAGGCCTCTTTGCCGCAGCCAGCCGCCTCCAACTCCTGCCTGCCCTGGAGCACATCAGCAGGTACGGCGGGCCGCTGCTGTTCGGAGAGCCCTCCGGGGGCGTGCCCGGCCTCGCCGCCCTGCCCGAGTCTGTCCAGTGATGCTCTTTTCTCCCGTTGCCTTCTCCGTTGGCAGATATTTAAAGGAGGGGCTCTCTGCCGAGAACTGCCTCCGCCTTTACATGCTGGCCCACGACCACAACGACGCTACTCTGCTGCACGCCACCTTGCGCTACGTGGGCCTCCGCTTTGAATCCCTCTTGGAGCACGGGGACTTCCCACGCCTCGACCTGGGCGCCCTGAGCCCCATCCTTTCCTCCGACCACCTGGCCGTGGCCTCCGAAATGGACGTCTACCGGGCCGTGCGGCGCTGGGTGACGGCCGAACCCGCCAAGCGCTCCCCCGCGCTCAAGACGCTGCTGCGGCACTTGCGTTTCCCGCTCCTGACGTCCGCAGAGGCTGCCGAAGTCCAGGCTGATGTTGTGACCTTTGACCCCCGGGTGGAACTGCGGTGGGAGGACCTCGACGGGGCCGGGCGGCTGCGGGCCGGGCAAGGCCTCCGGCAGGGCATGTACCGGGAAGAGATCGTGTGCATCAAAGTGCCGCGCTTGAAGGACATCGTCTCGGCGAGCAGCAACATGGACTGCTACGTGGAGTGCATGGATCCGGGCACGGGCTCGCGGACGGCGCTGCCCCCGTTAGAACTGTTGGCCCTCCCTGGCTGTGCCACCCGGGGGCACAGGCTCTACCTTTCGGGAGGGAAACTCTCCGACGGCTCCTACTCTCGGGCCTTGCACGAGTACGACTCCCTGACCCACGCCTGGACTCAGCTCCCCGGCATGTCGACGCCCCGCTCCGTCCACATGCTCCTCGCCTGCCAGCAGCAGCTCTTTGCCCTGAGCGGCTGGAACGAATCGGGCCCTCTCGCCTCCGCCGAGAGTTTCGACACGGCACAGCAGGCGTGGTCGCCCGTGGCCAGCCTGCCTTTGATCCTGCGCTTCTCCGCTGCCGCCCCCTTCAAAAACAAGCTGTACCTGATCGGAGGGGACGTGGACTCTGACGACGAGGTCTACGAGGGCATCCTCGTCTACGATGTCCGCTCGGACAGCTGGGCGCAGGTGCCCCTGGGGTTCAGCCTCTACGGCGCGGCCGCCCTCACCACGGAGGCTGGGATCTGCGTCATTGGCGGGTTCTTCGACCGACAGGCCTCACCCCCGTATCCAAGCCGGAGGTTCACCCAGGCTCTCCCGTGCACCCCGAGGTGCTTTCTCATGCAGGAGGACGGGGTGGTGAGCGCGGACGTCACCGTCCCGCCGCTGCCGCTGCCTCTCGCCTTTGTCGGCGCCACTCTCTGGCAGGGGAGAGTGTACGTGATCGGCGGCGTGTGCACCTCCAGAACCCACGATGCGATTTACCACTGGGGGCCCGGGGAGGCGGCCTGGACCCAGTACCCGCAGAACCTCACGGAACAGGGGAAGGTCGTGCGGAGGGTGCTGAAGTGCGTCACCCTGAAGGTACCGGAGGCCAGAGTGAAGGCCCTCTTGCAAGAGACCGCCGTCCGCCGGGTGGCCGTTGGGCTCGCAGGCCCCAGTGACTCTGGGGAGGGAGGGAAGGGGGGAGGATAGCCAGCGCAGGGGTCCTCCCCTTCCCTTGGCATCTGTCAGACTTCCAGGACGGGAAGACATCATCCCAAGGGAGGAAAAGGAGTTTCACCTGGACTCCTCTCACTCATTAAAAGCCCCTGGCTTCTGTCCCTCACAACTGGACTCATTCTCGTGTCCCTGCAAGGCAGAGGAATCTTCCTCATGCAGAATCAGACCACTGGACTGTCTCGCTGGGCATTCAGTGGGGCAGCAGGAGGTCTCTGGGTGGCGCCTCCTGGGGCAGAAAGAGGTTTGAGCAAGCCAGTCTGGTGCAGTGGTTAAGAGCACGGACTCTAATCTGGGAGAACCGGGTTTGATTCCCCACTCCTCCACATGCAGCTGCCGATGTGACCTTGGGACAGCCACAAGTTCTCTCAGAGCTGTTCTCTCAGGGGCAGTCTTCAAAAAAGCTCACTCAGCCCCACCTACCCCTCAGGGTGTCTGTTGTGGGGAGGGGAAGGGAAAGGAGATTGTCAGCCCCTCTGAGACTTTTTCGGGTAGTGAAGAGCGGGGTATACATCTAATCTCTTCTCCTCCTCCTCCACCTGCTCCACATGCAGCTGCTGGTGTGACCTTGGGTCAGTCACAAGTTCTCTCAGAGCCGTTGTCTCAAGGGCAGTCCTCGGGAGAGCTCTCTCAGCCCCACCTCCCTCACAGGGTGTTTGTTGTGGGGAGGGGGAAGGGAAAGGAGATTATCAGCTGCTCTGAGACTCCTTTGGGTAGTGAAGGGCGAGGTATAAATCCAATCGCCTCCTCTTCGTCTTCAAACGGGGGGGGGGCAGGGGGAATGGCACACGCTACTGTGGCCAGGGGACCTCATCCTGGGCTTCAGGCCCATTACAGGATTAGGCCTATTTCTGTCCTGTTGGAATAAAAGATAAATTTTTCATATATGAGATTGTGTGCCTGGACTGGGATGGGGTGGTGGTGGTTAAGGGCTATAGCAGTGGTGGCAAACCTACGGCACAGGTGCCAGAGGTGGCACTCAGAGCCCTCTCTGTGGGCACGCGTGCCATCGCCCCAGTCAGGCCCAGACCATCATTAAAGTGTCGAATTCTCTGCCAAATAATTTTAAGTCAATGAAAGCATTTGGGATTGCTTTCCTTACTTTGTTTGGATCCTCTTAAGTTAATGTAGGAGTTGTTTTTTCTAAAGTAAAACCTCAGTATTCAGGTTAGATTGCCGTGTTGGCACTTTGCGATAAATAAGTGGGTTTTGAGTCACAGTTTGGGCACTCGGTCTCTAAAAGATTCGCCATCACTGAGCTAGAGGATGAGTTCATACGAAGAAATAATGCCCTGTCTCTAGAAGCTATGACCTCTGTGAACCTCTTAACCTATCAGAGAGGGAACATGACCCCGGGAAGGGCACTTTGCACATGCTCAGAGGGACTGTAGGATCACCTGTAGAAGGGGAGTGAGGACATGCAGATCAGGTACAGGCAGAAGGTCCCTATTCCAATCCCGGGCAGCCTCTCTGGTGACGTAGCGGCTGAGAGAGCCGCTGCCAGTCTGAGACGACAAAAACGCTGCCCTTGAGAGGCAGCCTGACCAATGCTCCCTCTAAGCTGTGGAGTCTTGTGAGCAAAAATCCTACTTTGTGAGCTACCGGCATTAAAGTTGTGAGCCAGCGATTTGGCTATGGCATAAATGAATTTGCGCTGGAGCCATCATTCCCGAGCTAAGACAAAAAATGTGCGAGCCGGAGGCTAAAGTACTGTGAGCTAGCTCACACTAACTCAGCTTAGAGGGAACACTGGCTGCAACCAATGCTTCCCTCTAAGCTGTGGAGTCTCATGAGCAAAAATTCTACTTTGTGAGCTACCAGCATTAAAGTTGTGAGCAAGCGATTTGGCCGCTGCATAACTCAGTTTGCTCTGGAGCCCTCCTTCCCGAGCGACAGGGGTCATTTCATAGAAAAAGAGGTGCAGGAGCTCATTGGCATAGCTTATTTGCATATGCCACACCCCCTGACATCACCGGAAGTGTGTCAGAAGGCAACACCCACCGCTCAGGCTCCACTGGACTGTTTTGGATTGCTAGCTATTGGGGGGGGGGGGACGTGCAGCTCTGCCTTCACAGAGGAGGGAGAGCTTGTACCTGAATAAAACTTGGTCTTAAAGGTGCCACTGGACTGTTTTGGACTGGGGGAGCGGCTCTGCAGCTTACCTGGCCGCTTCTTGCTCTGACTGAGGGCTGCTGGAAGCAGGGGGTGGGGCTTGTTGCATGTGCCTCTGCCCCCTGGGCTCTTTACTGCTGGAGCTCCGCTCCTGTGCGTTCCTGCAGGAAATGACCCCTGCTGAGCGAAGACAAAAAATGTGTGAGCTTGAGGCTAAAGAACTGTGAGCTAGCTCACGCTGACTCAGCTTAGAGGGAACACTGCCTGACACGTCCTCAACCCCTTCCAGGATCAG